AGATTTTAACTTTTTTAAATTAATATTATATTGTTTATAAAATTTACTGCCACAAGTTTTATTTTTTTAACGTTTGTAAAATAAAAGCAAGTATTATTTTGGAAAATTTTTATTTTATTTATTTTTTTATTAACCCATTTTTTATTAACTCACTGTGCACCAGTTGAGAGTACAAATAGACATGTTGTTGGTTGACAGACTGACGAATTGGCGCCATGACTGTTTGCTCGCCAGTCAGAAGCAACCGCAGTCGCCGCCGCTACTTTGCTATGCTTTCGGATGGATTGCGGCGGCATGTGTTTGTTGCTGCTGGTGGCTGCTGCGTCTATTTTTACTTACCGCGTGCTCGGCTGCAAGTAAACACAGACACACTCACACACACACACAAGTGGCCGCATAAACATCAAAACACATGTGAAGCTGCTACAGTCGGAAACGCAGCTGCAGGGCACAGCCTGTGCCAATGTTGTTGTAAACATTTTTTGGCCATCGTGTTGTGATTGTTGTTGTTGCTACTTGCTGCTCTTTTCGTTATTGTTTTTTCTTTTTTTATTTTAGGGAATAACAATTCGATGACTAAATTAGCCTGTTCGGTGTGCGTGCGCGATTTATGATTCCAATTAATTAATATTAATACCAAGGGTGTGACTTTAATGAGAGGCAAGTGTTGTCAACGGCAAATGTTGGCTGAAAAGTAATAAATATTTCTACCCCAATTTAAAATGAAAGCTTGCTTGTTTTAATAACTTGAATTGAAAGAAATTCCTGAGTGAAACTCAACGTGGCAGGAAGCAGCGATTAACCAATGCAACAGCAAAATATTCAAAACTTCTTGTTTTCGGCAGCTCAAGTTTCTTAGGCTTAATGCCATCTCATGTAATTATGAAAACATCGTAAATAAATTGTGACAACTTTAGCGGAAAAAATATGTCAAAATAGTTAATTAGTTGTTGGCCATGAGCGCGCCTCCATTGTCCATACCTGCATTGTAAGGCGCTTAAGGAATGCCTTCCTTAAGTGCTCGAAATTTATGACTCCCAGTTGTCACGCATCTCAACAGAAACGGTAATTATTTATGCATTTCCACTGTGCCCTCCACTAGCCTCTTTAGCGGCAGCGCAATGCACTTTTCCTAATTGAATTAGGCAACGGTGCCCCAAATGTGCAAATGACTTCATGCAAGTGCAATATTTTCCATAATTTAACTTGCACTAATGTGGTCATGCGTTGCAAAGTGGTACATTTCTATAAACTCTCGTTATGGTCATATTTCTGCGGCAATATTGCTTTGCATTAGTGAGTTCTGAGTACTGAAGTAGGAAATAGTAAACAGCAAAGGTAAGCGAGTTATTATAAGTTCAGGTAAAAAAATAAATATAATAAATTTGAAAGAATATGAACAAGTATTTGGTATAAATTAGTTAATATTCGACAAAGAGTGTGTTTTTTTGAAATACTAAATTTTATAAAAACTCAACCTTAATTGTTCAAATCCTTAATTTGTTTTTACGTTACTCATTTTTTGTTATTGTAGTGGCAGATAATAAATATTGTCGAGTTGACAGTCTTTGGCCGAAAGAAAATCCGGTACCGTACTGGTATCGTAACACCCGAAATCGAAACATGATTAAGAAATGTACTGCGATTCTTAGTACTTATATAAATCGATGATTTAAATGAATATCCAAAATAATAAGTATTTTAAAGATATATGTTTAAAATAAACAAAATATAAAATATATAAAAGAAATAAATATAAATTACAAAAACGTTATATAGAGCATATGTGTTACTTATCTGCAGCTTAATAAACTGAGTGAAAGTCGCAGACGTCAACGATGGGATTTATATATGTGTGACAAAAAAGTATCCGGAATCATAAATAAAACGCCAAATATTTAATTCTTCTTCTTTTAGTTATTCACCAATATTTATTTTTCCGACTTCAAAGTAATCTTATTCCAACGATCTTTCCAGTACTCGAAAGACTTTTCATACGCACTTTGGGATCTTAGCTCCTTCACCGAATTTGTATTATCGCTTCGATTAACTCAAAACGAGTTCCATGGAGCTGCAATTTCATTTCGAGGAATAAGAAAAAATCACAGGGAGTTTCTACGCAATTACTTCCATACAGCCAAATAGAACTCCTTATTGACCATATGTCCCTCTATTAATATCGATAAAAATGATAAGCATCACCTTGATGTTTGTGCGGCTTTAGCCAGGTTTTTGTGGTTCAGGTTTGTTTCTTCTCCTCTATTCCGGTGATTGTTGACTCGTATGTACATATGTCAAACTCATAACCCATGTCACATAGGAAGCTATAATGGAGTCTGAATTCGCACCATCAAGTTTGTCCAAAGAAATACAGCTTTATCGGGACGAATCGAGCAAGACCGCATTTTATACCTAAAATATCCATCAAAATCATTCGACCGGATTTGCGAAAGATGTCGAGCTCTTTTTCTATCTTGATTTTCTAGCTCTATATGCTTCACTTTATGAACATTTTCAACAGTTGAAGAGGTCGATGGATGTCCAGAAGGAGACATGTTTTCAACGATCTCTCGACTGTGTTTGAAGTAAGCTTGTGTTTTTGATAAAACTGAATCAACGTCAGCCTTTTCAAACATTTTCAACGATTTCGCAAACGATATTTGGTTATAAATAAAAGAATTTGAAAAAAAAATTATTTATCCAAAATTATTAGGAATTTAAATAAACTCATTTCAGTTGGACTAAATTTTATTCTCCAAGAATTCAATGCTCTGGCAAATGTATTGAGAGTAATTCTAAAAGACAAGAACTACTCAATAGCATAAGTTTCTGTTATTTTTTCTCAGATTATTCTCATTTAATTGACAATTCTGAGGGCCAAGCGATTTCAGTATTCCATTAAAAAAAATTAATTTATTTTCATTTTCTAATGTCTACAGAGAACATTTCACTAATTGACTCAATTAAGCGCCCATTTAAAACGACTTCAAAAGTGTTAAAATAATAAGCAAAATGCTTGCAATTCGATGCGATTTTCTATTAGTGCTATGAGCCAATCTGCACTTTTATTCTTTTGGCCTTGGCTTTGTACTTATTCCCGTGCATTCTTTCTTAACTCCACAAAACATCAATTACCATAATTCTTGTTGGCTAAAATTTATCTCTGCCACTTATCATTCATAGCATTCTTATGCATTTTTCCATGTTCATTAGCCATTTGTTTATTCAAATAATACGCGTGAGCACGAATAGCCATATCTACAAGCATATATATAGAAAATACATTCATATAGTTGAAGGAAATAGTGCATGGCTGTTTACAGGGTAAACAGTTGTGCCATAAAGACAGTTGTAGGAAGTTGACATTGCGTGTCACTTCAACATTTCCATTAAATAAACAAAATGTCTAAATGTACGACATAAAGAATAAGAAAGTAAGTACAGCTGGTCCTAAGATAATAATTGATTTGGAAAAGTTGGAGTTGGAAAAGTATGTTTGATGTTACTTAGAGTAGTGGCGCATTATGGACGATGACGTCACAAAGGCATCTATGGAGTTCGATTGCTTGAGAACGAATATTGTATATGGAAGTACGTGGACTTATGGTGACGCGTTTTGGCTATAGAAAAGTAACCCTTTGGTTGTGATACCGTTTGAAAGTTAATTTGATTAAATTAGGGATGTCCTGCAACTTTTTGTATAGAGCTTTATAAAAAAAAAAATTAATTAGGAGAAATAATGTATTTGATATCTGAAAATGCTTCACTACGCAATTTTTTTTTTTTTTTGTGACGATAATTTATTAAAAGATTCCCACGAAATTTTCCATAGGTTCTCATTTATGTCTCACTGGCATGTAAGATTCCCATTTGCGCAAAAGCTCTGCGTTACCCTGCGTGCACTGTATCTTCGAACAACCACTCAAATAGCTCGCTACCTGTTTACCTACTCGGCCAACAAGGAGTGACGTGTTGAAAAATATAATGACGCTAGAGTCTTACGACAAGCGCTAGCATACGTGTGAGGCTCGCGACGGCATACAGCGCTGTCACCAACAACCGAGCAGAGGCGCGACAGTTTTTCGCGAAAGTCAACGCCTCGACACTCTTACGGTGACAATTTTTCACTTCAGTTGCGAAGAGTGAGTGATGGCGAGCATTCCATACGACGGGATAAACGATTCTTAACTCGTTATACAAGTGCAGAAAATCTCATAAGAGTGAAATTCAAGTTCACCGTAGAAGAATTGTGCAACTCCAACGAAGCATGTGTTTTAGTTTCACTAAAAATATTGACAGAAAATTAAAAAAAAAAAAAATTTGTGAAATATAATGAAAAAATATTTTATCGAAATTTCATTTCGTAAATTTTTTCGCAGCTGTTGCCAGCACCAACAACACGAAGCACATCGTGCATATTTATCTATATATTGAGTAATCAAAGTGAAAATTCGAAAAAATAAAAGCGAAAAAATTGTTGTGTCCAAGTGAGCGCGCGCACAACAACTCTCGGCGTCAAAGTGTATTCAAGTATCGTCGCCTATGTTGTTAGTGTGCTGTTATTTTGGTCGCGCTGCATGACGTATTGAGGCACGCTACGGTTGGGCGCTCGCCCGAACACAACATCTTCGTAGCTTCCTAGTTGCGCGCGCGTTTCTAACGAGTCTTCAGAATTTCGGCCAAAAATCTTTATGTAGCTCTTCTGGTCACCGTTTTCGGACTATTGCCGTTGTTGTCACCATTGAAACACGCGCTGACAGTCGAAAATGTTTTTAATTTGCGCGCCTCATAGCAAACTCAGCGCAATAATAAATTCACTTTTGTTGTAATTGCTGTAATACTTAGCCAAGAGCAAGAAATCTTAGAAGACAGCAGAAATTTTGCAAACGGAAAAACAACACGAAGATATTTTTTTTTTTCGTTTTTTCTCGTTTAAAATATTCATTATGCGTTCATTGGCACAAAAATATGCTGAAGGAAGCTGAGCGCGGCAAAGAAGTACGAGCACAACTCGTGAGAATGTGATAAAGCGAAGCGCAAACAAGAAGAAATAATCGAAAATTAGAAAATTCACCAAAGTGAGTGTTTGTTGTGTGACATAATGTGACTGCGAAGCGTTGTGCAAATGTTGTCAACCTCAGCGGCACCACAGCTGACGTGTGCGCGCAAGTGTATAAGTATGTGTGAGTTAGTGCACCACTTCATAATGTGCAAACATCATAAAATAAAATGCTAAACAGCGAAGCATTAAAAATGGTGGATAAAAATTAAAATAATAATTGAAAAAGTGATTTAGATTGCAAACAAATTATAAAAGCAGCACTGCGCTACGAGTTGCCAATAAATACGCGCTGAAAATCTCTTGTATTTCGTATTAAAAAAATGTAAAACACTGTTTTTATTGTCAAACAAAATATCACAGCTATGGAAGATTTCGCCTTTGCGCTCAACCAAAGTGTCACCGCGAACGTCATGAGCAATGTAAGCGTAATGCAGCCATAAAATATTTATTTCATTTTATTGCTTTAATATTGCAGTGTATCTAAAACGCAGTTGTTAATTGTTACTGGGAGTTCAAATTAGCAAATCTGCTATCGAAGACACTAGTCAATTTTTCTTTCAAATGCAGTAATATTGATATTACTAACGATTTTTACGTATGAAACATTCCCTTAAAGGCCTGTTTATGAGTGATGCAGGCGGGTATTTTATTTCCCATCACTACTTTCTAAAAAAATCATATATTTTACTGCCGGAGGCTACTTTTCGATACGAAAGCCTGCCGAATAATACACACAAAAAAGTACAGCAGTCTTTAAAAGGAAAATAAAAATTAATTAAAAATCTTATAAAAGGTTGAAACCCATTGAAAAATTAATATAAAATAACATAAATAATACAATAAAAGAGAGATCTGAGATAAGAAAGTGAAATCGAGGTTGATTTATTAAGTAATATTACATTTTATTTTTTCGCAAAACGTGTTATTTAGAAAAAAGTTCTGTGACAAAATTGAATGTAATCAAAAGATCAACAAAAATTGAAAATTTAATTTTTTTGAGTTTTTTTTTTTTGTTTTGTGATTTTGTTCTTTGTACACTTTCACGAAATTTTCGTATAAACTTTCCCTAATTTTGGAAAATATTGGAAAATATTATGAATTTTCAATCGAAAGTCTTAGATCAGTAACTTTACACCGAATTTCGTGAAAGAAAAAAATTGCTTGCACAATATTTAAAAATATACATACAAAAAAATTAGTAGATCTGCTTATGGCCTAGATCTTTGATACATAATTTTAATACACTGTCTTGCTGGAAATCGAGAAATATTTTTTTTAATTATTAAAAATCTAACCAAGCTATTTCCTTTATCCTCACGATCTCAAGTCACTCAGTTTTGGTTCTTTGCAATACCCGATGGTGTTCAGTTACTATGCCCATGAGAAGTAGTTATACTTAAGAATGCCTGTGCTTGATACGAATGGACAAATAGAATTTGCGGCCTCACTATAGATACTTCCGCCAGTGTATCATTCCGCGGGTCCCTACATGCGTACAGCGTAATCTTATTTATGTGGGACAAGTGCATAAAGGATGCTCCATTGTTTCCCTGGTACCCTGCCCTAGACATTTCCAGCAGTCTTCTCGATTTGTCAGCCCCATTATACAGGCATGTATCTTCTATCGAGAGCTTATAGGAATTTTCTATACTTCCGATCTACCGTTTTGCAGTTTCCATCAGTCATCGTAAAGACAATGCCTGACAGTGTTTGCTCAACCGCTATTACTCTCAGAGCTATGTTCGAAGATTCTATATGTAAATTCTCCTGCAGCCAGTGGTCGTCCCGCCGATTTTGCTGCGCAGTTTCAGCGAAAAGATCTTTAGGTGGCATGTTTAGTGCCAGTTCAAGAGTCGCTGTTGGAATTCTTCTTAGGAATATAAAATTAAGTTAATTAATTTAATTTAATTAAATATAGAGTTATGTATCCAGACCCCTCGACTAATACTCTTGAAGCCTATGCGTCCAGCTCGAAGGACCATGTTTTAATATGTTAATGTATCAGCACTTTAAAGCGGCACTTTACCTTGTACGGAAAAATATTAATATGCGTTACGAAAACATGAGCGGAGGAACTTAAGCGATGCTTGATGTTTGCGAGTTCGTAGAGATAATGCGAAAGAGGCTGGTGCTTTGTCCGTCCGTCCCTTTTGTTCCTGTTTTTTGGTATGTTGAAATCGTGATGTTGTAGTATTTGTGTGCGTGTGATGTGGTGTGTAGTTAAGATATGGTGGTGAATGATGATGTGGTGTATGTGATGTGTGTGGTGTGGGAGTGTAATATTGTGAGGAGGGTCTGAGACTCATTTAGCCACTGATTGATCTCAAAGTTTAACATTATTGGTTCACCGATATCAGACCGGCAATAGCATACACACCGTAACATAATAAAATATATAAATAAATATGTTCTACATTACATGTTTTCCATTGAGTATTTAATATTTTATTCGATACCTAAATTATGACTGTGATGAAAGCTTAGCAATTCCTTAGATACAATTTAATTGGGGTACTCACAACATGTCATAAAATCATAAGTTTCTATACTACTTTTAAAAATTTAGTGTTGGATTGCATACAAAAATAAGTTTACGCAAATAACACTCTGAACGCTATGTTTTCGGATCGTTATAACTTATAACTTTATGAGACCATGTGAAACTCCTTAATGTTTTCCTCATATAAAAATTAATAATGTATCCACATTGCTTCGAAATACTTACATTTTACCAGTCGACTATAACCACATCGCCCATTTTTCACATCTACGAATTCATGTGTCTGTGAATTGAGCAATCGAATCATCAATATCACTCTATGTTATGCTATGTGATGCCTTCATCAGCTTGTTATGCATTTATGTACTTGTCTCTTTATTCCCACTTGTGCATATGCAAGAATTAATGGCATTGAAAACAGTCATTAAATACTAAAAATCTTGGCTGTAAATTGGCAGTGAACCAGTGCGTATGAGTAACACTAATCCACAATGTACATATGTACAGATAAATAAGTACACGTGTGTATATATCAATGTAGTTGGGCGTGTACAAGCGTTGTTGCTGAAATTGATTTTTGATTGGGAGTGAAATTTTGCCAACACACCGGTTCCTAAATAAATTCATTCTCAACTGTGTAGATAGTATCATTAACATGCATACTTTTCATTGCTTTCCTCTTCCGATTTTATTTATTTTCAGTTTAGTTTATATCTTCATTTTGTTTATGTCTAATTAAGACACGAAAGTTTTGCATTATTTTTATTTTCAATAATTCAACTTTTTCAGTACTTCCTGGAAATAATTTTATTGAAATATCTGAAGTACAATATATACGCGGCATCAAATAAGGATAATTTGTTTTTTGTATTTTTTTTTTTTTTTTTAGAAATGGTTAGAACTAATATTTGGAAAAAAGGGCGATTAAGTTATACACATGCATATATGAGATTGATAAAGACTTTCTGAGTTTTAATTAATGAATTTGAAGTAAAATTAATTGCTCTTTTTGAAATTGTTATTATTTGTGTTTTGAAAGTATTCTTTGCTATCCTAGCACATTTATCATCATTGGAAAACGAGCTAGAATATAGAAAACCTTTTCAGATGTCAAAAAATAAAAATGAACGAAAAACGAATATGTAAAGTATTATTTTAACTATATTTGTATTGACGACAATTTTGACCTTCGACCATTCTAATCAAGTGAATTCCACCTTGTTTTTTATGGGGCGTAATTTTTTTGGTTTCAGCCCTTTACTCCATTCCGATGACTGTTGACTTCATTGCGTGTCAAACTTATAAACCCATGTCTTATCGGCAGTCATAATACTCTCCATCAACGTGGGATTGGAATTCGCACGATCAAGCATGTCCAAAGATTTAACTTTATCGGGACGAGTCGAGCAAGAACGTGTTTCATAAACAAAATATCTGCCAACATCTTTCGAACGAACTCGCGAAAGATATCGAGCTCTCTTGTCATTAGTCTGACACTTGCGGGACGATTAAAAAGCATCATATTTATCACTTTTTTAAATTTTTCATCAGTTGAAGAGGTCGAAGGTCGAACGAGGTATGTCTTCAACGATCTCGCAATTGTCTTTGAATACTTTTTACCACTCATAGGCTTGTATTTTTGACAAAACTGAATTACCGTGAGCCTTTTCCAACATTCGCAACGATTCCACAAACGAAATTTGGTTAGAAATACAAAATTTGAGATAAATTTTTTGTTCGATATTATTATTCGCAACATATTATTTGTATCGTAACACACTACTGAGGTGTACCGACTTAAGCAGTTGCTGTAAACAAACTAAGCTAGTTAAGGACAGTCCTACTAACTTTTTCTGAAATATAATTTACCTGGGGAATTCAATTAAAATTTCCGGGTGCTTTTTTGTCACAATATATATTACTAAACCCTCGCCTCCCACTTTAGCTACTGCTACTATATGGAGATATTAGGATATCTTATGCATATGTGTATTTCAGATCTTTATCTCTAAAACGCAGACAGTTGTAAGCAGCTTCTATTCGGCATATGAAGTCCCGATTGACATGAGACAGATATATTTCATATTTATGCTCGTTTCCTTCTTTTCTGATGTTCAAACAATGCTTTCTCTCATTATTGAGATCAGCGATCACACTCTATTTTTCAAATTTTACCACTAACAATATGATATAGTATATAGTTTATCGACTAAACCGTTTAAATCGGTTAAAATTCCATGTTGTACTAGATCGCTATTATTAAATATAATCTGAAAATATTTCTATTTACATTTTCAAAATTATAGCTCGATTTGTGATTGCATAAAAAATTGAATTTATATTTATATATTTTGCAGAAAATTCAGGTATTTTCCTACTAACATTATACACATTAACAAATATACTGTACAAGAACTAGTTTAATATAAAATTATTATTTAAATGAACCACACTATAACATTTTCATTGTTGCGAGAAATTTGCGGTCAAGCATTTATTAATACATATTTAAGTAAAGATGATAGATATACGTATATATTATATAAAACCACATTAATAACATCTTTGCATTTTAGTGGCTAGTAATATAATATAATGCTTTAATAATACCGCTTGTAATTTAGTTAAAAATTTTATATTCTAATATTAATATTTAAATAAAAATTTGTTAACACTTCACACATTGCAGGGGATGTCGGGGTGTGACCAAAGCACTGTCGAATCATTGGCCGAAGATCCAACAGATTCACCATTCGCTGCCGATGAGTGTCTCAAAGTACGCAAGTACTGGTGTTTTTTGCTCTCCAGCATTTTTACCTTCCTTGCTGGGCTATTTATTGTGCTACTATGGCGCGCGTTTGCGTTCATTTGCTGTCGCAAGGAGCCCGATTTGGGACCCAACGATCCCAAACAGAAAGAGCAGAAGGCGTCACGCAACAAACAAGAGTTCGAAGGCACCTTTATGACCGAAGCCAAAGACTGGGCTGGCGAGCTTATATCGGGACAAACGACAACTGGTAGAATTCTGGTGAGTAACCAGAGAATTGTTATTTTATTCTTATAAAAATAATATTTTATCGTGAAAGAGGGTTTTAAGTTCCCAATTTGAGTCAGACTTTCATATATTGACACACACTTTAGCGTATGTATAGACGCCATTACATTAAATCTCTCTGAATTACAGTGATGTTCCAACGTGCTAAGCGCGCATTCCATTGTTCTTATTAAAAGTATAATTGCAGTGTTGGCTAACAATGTTGCCTGCACTTAATTGGCCATTCTACGTTTCATTTTAAGACATTTTTCTTTTATATTGTTGCTTTTTCTTGGTGCAACGTGGCGTATGCGTGACTTTTTAATGCTCAATTTTATTTTATACCCGACCGCAAGCTGGCAAACCAAGTGAATGACCACATAATACAACGCCCACTTGGCGTACGACTCGATCTCGACACGAATCTACATAGTATGGAAACTAAATAAGTGCCCGTTGCCATTCGCTATTGGCCACACTCGTGACGGCTGCTTTTATGAGCTGTGAATTGAAAACACCTAACTAAAGGAAAAGTGTTGTTTTGTGTGTTTGCGTCTTAAGTCGGAAATTGTGGCACTTAAACTTCCGAGTTTTGACATGCTAAACGTTGCTTTTGGGCGCACAATCAGTTCGCTTCATTGAAATTCGCCATATCAGTCCTTATACTGTCGTCACTTCGCTTTGATTTATGCAAAAGTAAATGCATTAACGCCATTTTTATGATAAGCGCGCTTTTATAACTATGGAAATTGCAGTTTTTTAAAACGGAAATAGTGAATTAGCAGCACTTTTCTACCACTAAATAGTAAAAGAAACTCTTTACTTATATTTTCAGTGCAAAAATATTGCCGATTCGCACACTAACAGGGATTTCATTTAATTAATTGCCGGTTAAGATGATTGCGCATTTTATAAATTTAGAATTTAACAAAATTATTTTTTATTACGCCAACAGACAACTCTTGGCGAAACGAGTGCTGAGCACTTGTTATATGTATAAATGCACATGTCGCAAATGTACAGTGTTGTTTTTTGTAGTATAAACAATTTTTGTTCGTCTGCATGCTTGCACAACTACATGCACACCTAGGCGAACAGCCAGTTATTAGCGCAAAGGAAAGGTCGCGTCAATGGCATTACAAACTCGTGCATATGCACTTGCCAAGCAACCACATCGCGTACACACATACATATGTATGTAGCAAAGTATATCTAACTGTACACACACACATATGTGTGAAGCAAAGTATATATATCTAACCGTACGCGACACCCCAAAGAATCACTGCCGCTGCTGTCGAAGTGCCAACATGAATTTCACATTTCTGCTTTAATTTGCATACTTGCACTCGCGCATTTTCCCCCATTGTGTTTTTTGGCTTCGCGATTTTTGTTTTTCAAACGGCTAACCCTTGAAAACTGAAATTGGACACGGTCAAGTGCACTTGTTTGTTCGGCATGCTGCATACTTGGCGCTCTTTATTACATTCATATTCGTTGTTATGTAAATATATTATACTCATGACAAAATGTAGTGATTCAGAACTAATTCCTCAACCGCTGGTTTGCAGACAAGTTTTTGCTGGCTGTGCGTCGTTATTCGCTTTAGTAGCGAGTCTATAAAAAATAACAATTTCTATTTATATATTTCACCATAAAGTAACTAAAATTAATTAATTTTAAATATTTCTTATTTCAAATTTAGGTTTAGTTTACTCATAACAACTTTAAAAAAATCAATAATTATATAAATCACTAAATATCAGAAAAGTCAAAAATGAGCGAAAATAATATTGATTATATAATACTTGTACAAGAAAACTGTCAACATAATCTTGATTTTTGACCTGCTTTGACGTGGTTTTTTCGGCTGCGGCTCACTTTTGCCGCGATATTCAGCCGATCGTCTGTTTGCGAGGCGTAAGCATAAATTCAAGACTCATCGCCAATAATAATATGCTTGAAAAAAATTGGTTTGTTCCATAATCATCTTTACACTGATCGATATTCCAAAGATGCCAGTAAGATCTCTGACTGTTAATCGTCAACTCTCAAACGCCAATTTCTTTATTTTATTGACGTGATGATCATCAGTAGATGTTGATGGCCGTTTTGGACGTGGTTTGTTGTCAATGTGTTCTTGGCTCTCTTTGGATAATTTGTATTGTATAACTAAAATCTGTTGCTCTCGACAAACAAGTACCACGGAAGGCCCTGTACAATATTCGGAAAATTTCAGCACCACAAATTTGATTCCGGACACAAAATTTAATGGATCTTCTTTGTTGCATATTTTGACGAATGGGTTTTCGCGCGAAATCTAAATTAAAAGTCTTACTATTTTTTACCCATAGTACTAATAATTTCCTATATCGGTCAAAATGCAAAGAATTTAGGTAAAACGAAGGATGCTAGTTGAAATAAAAATATAATTCTGTTTCTAACTAATGAACGGTTCCTCCGGAATTTATCCCCTCCATATTACCTTGAATTTTCTTAATTTCTCCAAAAATAAATATAATATTTGAACAATTTGCTTTTAACTTCCTAATTACTTCGCAACTTGCCATTACAACTGACCGTCGTAATTAGTGTTTTTAATTCACTTCAGGATTCATTTGATGATAAGATGGGCTGATTCATGAAATATTGTATTAGCTTTCAGATCGTTATTATCTGATACTTAATACCTTATTTCTTTTTAATGTCTTAATTATTTTGTGGTATTAATCGGCATTCGATTAGAATAACGAATACTACATAAATTTTGAAATTTCTTCACATTGAATTTTATTATTCGTATTAAGTACCTCTTAAATAAAAACCCCTAAAATTGAATATATACATGTAGTGTACCAAAAACAACATTTCATTTAGATGCACAAAACTCTTGATAATTGTTTATGTAATTTGTTTAATTGTCTTCAATTGTATTTAGATCTGTGCCCTCATCACAAAAGAATCCTGAAAACCTTCTATACATGCAATACAGTTATTTCACTTATTTTTATTATGGTAGTAAGTTTTGTCTTAAGCCAGTTGTTCGTTCGACTCGCTACTGCATGAATGGAGGATACCTAAGTTTTAAATGCTCTTGAGAAGGAAGTGGGTATTAAAGTTAATCCAGATTTATTGACTGATTAAGATGTTACAAAATTGATATATGTAAATCCACAATCCATCTAGTTACTGAGAATAAATCGCCAAGAAAACAAACAAAACCTCGGCTGAATAGCAGTTATATTTAGTTTCCATTTTAAACTTGTTTAAGATGTTTCAAAAGTACAGTAGCTTTCTCTGCAGGGCTATGCTTGCTCTCTCATACGTATGCGTATACATATCGCAAATGCGTGACTGCGCGACACTTTTTCGGTTTACTCGGCAAATAATAAATTTTTCATTGGTCACAACATTGACATAGTTTTTCTGACTGCCATTTGCTCATATCTATTTTCATTTCTTTTTTTCGTCGTCTTCTATTTTTTTGTGAATTCTACATTTTATTGTTCATTCGCCTGCCATGATTCGCTTTGCTAACGGCTCATGCTTTCTAGTCCCTTTTACTATAAGCGTATGCATTCCGCTCGCCATCGGACTGCCATTCGACGCTTGAATGTCAATATCGCGTGGTAATTCCATTGGTCTGAAGAAATAAACGATTTTTATGACTAAATAATTTCCTACTCCATATTTTTCTCATACATACCCGTATATTTTGGTCATATGTGGTCAAAATGTAGCCATAAATATTTATGATTTTCACATAGAAAGCGATGTAAGTAGTTATATGCATCTTGAATCTATTAAGATGCGAAGAAAAAAATATTTTTTGGTGGGGGTAGTAAATATAAATTTCAAGTGGAAGGTTTGCGCAATTCCTTTAATATCGTGTGTGGAATAGCGGGAAATCTCTTGAAATATGTTTACATCAGTTGTGTGAACTTTTTGCGCATCTCTAACAGGAAACGGAAGAATATTTGTTTATTCTAATTCCGTGTTGAAAACTGTTAATATAATAATATAGTAATATTACTGATTCTAATCTTTTGATTTTCAACAACCCGGATCAGATTTTATGATTACGTTTACTCATATCTCTAAGTCAACAACTCGACAATCCTTCATACATTCGTTGTTCGGGATTACCGAGTGCTGCACACTCTCCTTTGAAGCTCCACTACTGTCATGGTTAACTGTCAGTAGCTAACGCAATATTTTTACACTACTTGAGAGTACCGACAATAGCCGAAATCGAAATCGTCAAGTGTCTGAGTATCACTCGGTGTACCGGATCTAAAGATATGAAAAATAAATTAGCTGTCGGGAACAATGACAAACCTTATCTGTCCATCGAAGTGTTCTCTCAATAAATCCATTGATCGATGCGCATAGGTTGTTTAAACCAAATGTCGCCGAGATTACGAGTTTCAATTTCAAGTATCAAATAGTCGGTTATTATTGTACGATAACAGCGCCATTAACGGCTAAGTTCTGGCTGGCTTCATTTTTAAGGAAATATGGACCGATGATTCCAAGGGCCCGCAAGTCACATCAAACCTTTGATTTTTCTAGATGAAATGACAGCTCTTGAATCACGTCAAGTTGGTCTTCGTCCGAAAGGCGAAAAGTTTGCTTCATTACATAATCATTATTAAGCTATATTTTCTTCACTACGTGCTGCACGTGCTCTATTCGGGCAAATATTATCCAATAACGGTTGCTAGGTCTCAATATGGGTGAAGGTGGTGCAAGTAGTATGCTTAGTAGGTCGACTATGTTGACCATAAGTTGAGCGAAGTCCGTGAAACGTGAACTTTCGTATTGAAGTGAATTTTCGTAATGAAGTGAAGTGATTTGTAAACGTAAGTCTTTCCGTGATGAAATGCCAAACAATACTGAAAAAACTTAAATGACAGCTGGATACGTATCACGCGTGATCTGCCAAAAAAGGCTTTTTGAAAAAGTACGCATACTTGGCACACAATATAAACTCC